GGATCCATTCTTGATCAAGATATTTGGCTTTTAATATACTGGTTGGAATACTAATCACTCTTGAAATTGTTTGTTATAGTATCCGAGTAGAAATTGTCTTTTTCTAAATTAATTTGGGAGATGTTTATAAAAATAGTACGTAACATATGAAGTATTTAATATTTTATCATTTTTATTCAGTATAAAAATTGGTGCCAAAAGTTACATATCACTATTTAGAAAATTTAGTATTTTAGATTCTTTTAATAAATAAAGAAATTTTCTTAAATAACTAAAATATTAAATGGTCGATAGTTAAGGTGGGTTTTGATAAAAAAAAATTATTTTTCCATTAAATTTTTTTTTTTGTATTTTTGTATTATTTTATTGAAAAAATTGATATAAGGTTGATGCCCTAAACAATCAAATTGAGGCGCACCTCAAAAATTCACTAGAACAAGTTGTTTCGATGTTAAAAAACCCGCAAATCCGATCATCTCGACCTTAATCTACATGGACGTAAGAAAAATGGACTTTAAATCTTGGAAATAGTGCATCTTATAATGTATTATCTAATTGTCAATTTTTGAGATTTTCTAGTGTTCATACTTGATCTACGCTATTTTTTAAGCTTTAAATTTACAATTCGAAATAGAAAATAAAATTTTAAGTCATCATAAAGATTATTAGTACTAAAATGATATATTTCGATACTATTTGAAGGTGGGCATTGTTTAGAGCCCAGCTTTATACTATATATATATATATCCCTCGTTATGCACAATACATATCTTTTGGATTCATTGTTTGATAACTCATTGGGCTAGGTACTTTGGCCCTAGCCGGAGGCGAGTTACTCACGTAACTTAGTTGTTGGGTGAGTGTAGTCATTAAAGGCTTTATGGGTGCTTGTAAAATGAAATATACAGTGGAATATAAACTCGGTGAGAATGAAATGTGGTTCTATGTGGACCATGTTTAGCAAAAGGTGTTTGCTGATATTGAACTGTGCTTGATGTACTAGACTAGTCTGGTTGGAAAAAACCCAATATACCAAGGTATAGATATATAATAGAGAAGGGTTTTAATGAGTTAGCCCTTGATATGGTTGGAATATGCCCAGATGAAAGCCGATGGACCGTGTGACCCATGTGTGATAAGGTGTTTCTGTATTAAACAAAAAAACGTTTACTTCGTACTCGGAGGAGATAAATCGTCTCCGTGGGCTGAGCTAGGTTGAACTTGGGGGGGGGGTGGGGTTCAAGTTCAACAATGCTAGGTTGAACTTGGGGGGGGGTTCAAGTTCAACAATAAAAAGCATTTTAACTTTAGAGACGAAAGGGAGATTGAGGGATTTGGGGCCGAGAGAGAAAGAGAGAGATGGTGACGAGCAAACCAGATAGGGTCTCCAAGAGAGATTGAGGGATTTGGGGCCGAGAGAGAGAGATGGTGAGGAGAGGAGCAAACCAGATAGGGTCCCCAGTTGAACGGCCACGGCAAGGAGTTCATTTCTTTAGAGAGAGAGGAATAGGTAGTATGCTCTCTCAGATATTTATGGGAAGAGACAAAGAAAATAGGGATAATTAAATCTGACAGTTTTAACTCGAGATTCGATCTTAAAATGGACGGTGATACACAGGTGTCTTGTGGCAGGGACTTTGCAATAAGTGTATTTCTATTTAATATTCAAAAATCTTAAAAAAGTCAAATAGCTAATTATTTGTGAGTATACTTAGAATAATCAAAAGAACATGAGCATGCTCCAGCAGGAGCACACAATGCCCTTGCGCCCTTGTGTAAAAGATCCCCCGAGTAAGAGACCTACTAAAACCCCCTTTTTTTTTTTGACACAGCTAACTGAGATTTCATTAAGAAAATAAAACGGAGATACAATCAGGCTCGTCGCACTGCTTGAGAAAGTAAATAATAATAATAATACAAAAAAAGTTCCAACAAAATAGCACTTTTGGCTAGCCCATTTGTCAAATGGGTTATTTTCCCTATTAATAAGTGAAAAGAGCACCTATTCCCCCAGGCAACGATACGATTAAATGCAGGACAATATTGTCAACTTTAAACACACAGCCCAAAAATTCAGCTTTAATCGCTTGACACATTGGAAGATGCCTCTGCAATTTCCATGGATTCGAATTTTTTTCATCTCGATGAGCCCTCATAACCCGCCTTTTTCGTGCTATGCCTTACACTTCCATCAAAATTAAGTTTATATCAGCCGAACATTTCATAAGGTTTGTCTCTTTGTCCTCATGATGTGGATAATGTTATGAAGGAAATATGAGTTTGGGATAGTTTGAAACTCTCCGTTGCTCTTGCTCATTGTGATGTCATTTGCATAATAACAATTTTAAGATGACCCACATCCTTCATTTGTTTCAAAGATTCTAAAGTTTCTCTCCTTCTAAATATCCCATGGGACTGCTTTGATAGTGATTTTCCAAAGCACCGTCTCTTTTTTTTTATTTCAAAAAACATTTTTTTGATCTAGAATTTTGGGATCCACTTTAAA